CCCCGTCGCACAGCGCTATAAAGAAAAGGTGGGGGCCGGGGCTCGCAGTACGAGGTTCACCGCGCTGCCAGTCACCCCACCGATATCCTAACCCTAACCCGATCTTGAGAAGGGGCACTGCCAGCGATGGGAAGCACCACCGACGCCAAACAACGCCATCCCAACGCACACACACGCCCCGCCGAGGCGCCATCGCACCCGACTCTCCTCTCCACCGAACATCGCTGCCGGCGTGCAGATGGCGTCCGCCAACGAGACCCCGGCCGGTGCTTCGACCACTACGGCCTTCGATGGTCTGCTACCTCTCACTCCCCTTCTCTCTGCCTCTCATGTAAATCTTGAACATGTGTTCTATTCCTATGCAAAATATCCCAATCTGATGAATATGACTAAGAGATACCCAACACTGATCACAAAATAACCTAGCTCTATAGCTAGTTATTGGTTTCTTTCATGAACAGATGATAGAAGGAATAGAAGGCCATGATTCACCGGCCCCTTGACGTAGCATAGTAGCTGCTTCACCGCAACCCAGTGATCCTCTCTGGGATCCTCCATGAAGCGACTGACGTAGCCCACGGCGAACGCAATGTCCGGCCTTGTGTGGACTAGGTAGCGCAGACCGCCGACGATGCTCCGGTAGAGTGTTGCATCTACTTTTGTCGCGGTGCTGTCCTTCGTCAGTTTCAACCGCTCCTCCATCGGAGTCACGCATGGCTTGCACTCCACCATGCCGCTCCTCTCCAACAGCTTGGAGGCATATGTGCTTTGTTCGAGCGTGAGTTCCTCCTTCCCCTGTCTCACCTCGATGCCGAGGTAGTAGGAGAGAGCGCCGAGATCGCTCATTCGGAAACGAGCTGCCATCTCTCGCTTGAAGCTGTTGATATCCTCCGTGCGCGCGCCGATGATGATTAAGTCATCCACATACACGCCGACCAAGAGTTCTTCCTTCCCCCATCGTCGCGTGTAGAGTGTGTGCTCGGTTGTGCACCTCTGAAACCCAAGCTCGCCCAGCGTGGTGTCAAGCTTGGCGTTCCATGCTCGAGGGGCTTGCCTTAGCCCGTAGAGCGCTTTGCGCAGTCGGAGCACCCTGTGCTCCTCTCCCTTGACAGCGAACCCTGGAGGTTGCCTGACGAAGACCGTTTCCGCCAGCTCACCGTTGAGGAAGGCCGATTTAACGTCCAAGTGATGGACGCGCCAGTCCTTTGCTGCCGCCAAAGCAAGTAGCAAACGGACCGACTCCATGCGCGCTACTGGTGCAAAGACCTCCTCGAAGTCGATGCCCTCGCGCTGGACAAAGCCTCGGGCGACGAGGCGCGCCTTGTACTTGACAATGGCGCCGAGCTCGTCCCTTTTGACTTTGTACACCCACTTCAGGCTGATCGGACGGCATCCTGGGGGTGGATCGACGAGCTGCCAAGTCTCGTTTTCCTCGATCGCCTTCATCTCCTCCAGCATTGCCCGTCGCCAGTTTCCATCGCGCTCGGCTAGCGCGAATGTGGGTGGTTCCTCTGCACTGACGAGTAGCAACTCTGCGTCGTTGAGGAGCCTACCCGCCAGACCTGAGGGACCTGTGCCGCCGACGATGTCGTCCAGCCTGCGGAACCTCAACTCCTCACCTTCATGGTAGGCGTCCACGAACTCAGTGATGTCACTTGGAGGTGAGGCGAACTCGATCGGGGGTGATGGAGTTCCTTCTTCCGCCGGAGTGCCCTGCATAGCACCTAAAGTGCTCGGCACTGCTTCTGGACTGCTCGTCATAACTCCTGCAGTGTTCGGCCACACTGTAGGAGTGCCCAGCCTCAGTCTTGGAGTGGTCGGAACCACAGTAAGACGTCTTGGCTCCACCACGGGAGTGCTCGGCACCCGTCCTGAAGTGGTCGCCACCACTGCAGAACCTTCTGGCTCCACTCCTGGCGTGCTCGGCATTCCTCCAGAAGTGCTCAGCACTGCCCCAGAAGTGCTCGACTCTATCGCCGAAGTGCTCGGCGCTCCTCCTGGAGTGCGTGGATTCCGCAACGTCTCCACCGTCGTGGATGACCAAGTGCTCGATGACGAAGGTGTTGGTGAAGCCTCCTGATTCCCCCGTGCTCGGACTATGCCAGTCCCAAGCTGCCTCCTCGTTGAACACAATGTCGCACGAGACAGTCACCTTGTCTCCGCGTGGGTCATAGAGCCGGTACGCCTTGGTACCCTCCGCGTAGCCCAGGAACACCATGGGTGTGCTCCTGTCCTCCAGCTTGGTGAGGCTCGGCTTCGTCTTCCTGACGTGGCCGATGCAACCGAATGTCCGGAGGAATGACACGTTCGGCTTGCTCCCGTACCAAGCTTCGAACGGCGTCTTGCCCGTTAGGGCTTTGGTTGGAGCGCAGTTGAGGATGAACACCGCTGTGGTCACCGCCTCTCCCTAGAACTTTGCCGGCATCCCTTTGGCCTTCATCATGGATCGGGCCATGCCGACCACTGTCTGGTTCCGTCGCTCCACCACGCCATTCTGTTGTGGCGAGTACGACGCGGCGTGATGTTGCCCCACACCTTGATCCGCGCAGTACGTAGCAAACTCCACCGAAGTGAATTCGCCACCCCAATCAGTCCTCAGTACACGAAGCTTCTTGCCACTCTCGGCCTCCGCGCGCGTCTTAAACTTCTTGATCGCCACCGCCGCTTCGTCCTTGCTCGTCAGGAGTTGCAGCCACATGTAGTGACTGCAATCGTCCACGAGTAGGAGGAAGTACCGCCGACCACCGCATGTAGCAACGTGATCGGCCCGCAGAGGTCGCCGTGAACTAGCTCGAGAGCTTCCTTCGCGCGATACTTGGCCGCCTTTGGGAAAGGTAGCCTTCTCTGCTTCTCGGCCAGGCAGCTGTCACACAGCTCGCCTCCGTGTTTGATGTGGGGTAGCCCTCGGACCATCTTCCCCAGCCGACCAAGCGCGTCGAAGCTGAGATGTCTGAACCGGGCATGCCACATCCACGGTTCCTCGGAGTGCCTTGCTGCCAGGCAAACCGGCTGCTCTACCTTCAGGTCGAGCAGGTACAACCGGTTCAGGGACCTCTTCACCTTGGCGAGAAGTCGTTGCTCCCGGTCTCTGATCCTCAGAACGCCGTCCTTGATCAGAACCTCGCTACCGCGCTCATCCAGCTGACCAATGCTGATGATGCTGGAACACAGCTGCGGGATGTAGTATACATCCGTTAGCGCGTGGTGCTCCCCATTCTGGCATCTGAAGATGATGCTGCCGTGCCCTTGGATAGCCACCCTTGAGCCGTCACCAAACTTCACCGTACCGATAACATCACCGTCGAGCTCGGAGAAGGAGTCCTTGGAGCCCGTCATGTGGTTACTGGCACCAGAGTCCAGATACCACCGCTGCTCCTGGTCGACGCCCACATGCCCAAGATGGACTTGGGCGCGTGGTTCGTCGACGTTGACGGTCTTCAGGGCCTTGCTAGATCCTTCCACCGTCGTCGCATCTTCCCTCTCCATGGCCTCGATATCGTGCAGTGCACAGAACGTCGCCATAAGGATAGTGGCCTCATCCTCATCATCGGCTTTCGCCAGGTGATCTTGAGCCTTCTTTTCCTTCTTGTGATTTGGGCACTTCCGTGCCCAATGGCCCATCTTCCCGCAACACCGACAGGCGTTGGAGTCGATTTGCTTCTTCTCCGAAGAAGCCCTGCCGCGATGTTTGCCGTTGCCACCGCGACTGGAGGAGGCTGCCTTCCCGGAGTTTCGCCGAGCAGCCCACTCCTCTTCCGTCAGCAGGAGTTTCCCGCTGTCCTTCATTACTGTTGCCTGCCCCAAACGCTCGTCCACCGTCCGCAGACGACCTGCCACATCCTCGATGGTGAGGGTGGACAAGTCCAGCATCGTCTCTATGGAGAGAGCGATCTGGATGTATTTTGCCGGCACGGAGTGGAGTAATTTGGAGACCGCCTCCTCTTCGTCGATGGTGATGTCGTGGCTCTTCAGCTTGCTGATGAGCGTCTGCAGGCGGAGGAAAAAGTCCTCCACTGTTTCACCATCCTTGAACTTGAGGTTTGCATACTCCTGCTTCAGAAGCTGGGCCGTTGCCTTCTTTGCGCGGTCGGAACCGACGCGCATCGCCGCAATGGCCTCCCACGCCTCCTTAGCTGAGCTCTTCGTCTCCAACGGTTCCCTGTACTCCACCGGTACAGCAGCGAGGATAGCCTCCAACGCTGACATGTCGTTTTCTTCCACGTCGGTGCCCTTGTCAACAGCATTCCAGAGCCGTCGGGCTCTGAGCTTGACCTTCATGGTCACCGACCACTCTCCATAGTTAGTGCGAGTCAGCGTCGGTCAAGTGGTGCCGCTGACCTCCCGCACCGTGCGGACAACTACCTCCGGTAGTGGTTGGGCAGCTATATATGACAGTGCCACTGCCATCGCCCAACTCCAAACCGCCTGTCCTCGCCATCGGTTAGAATGACGACGGCGCTTGTATGGCTCTGATATCACTTGTTGGCCCACGGGATCACCGGCTGATGATAGTGAACTAGTCTTCAGACCACTAGTCTCAGACTACTAGTCTCCCAGACCACTAGTCTTCCAGACCACTAGTCTTCAGACCACTAGTCTCCCAGACCACTATACCGGTTTGTATCCGTACCCACACACTACGGATCGAGCTAGAAGAAGAAGGGAGAACAGAGGAAGCACGCACAATACAAGACAACAACGTTGGCCGAGGCCCTGTCTGTGTGATGGCAAATCTGAGCTCTCTTTACTGAGTTGCCTTGGTGCCCTATTTATACAACTCTATCTATCTAACTAAAGTACAGCGCACATGCTGTAATAGTAACTAGATAAGCATACAGGGCTGACTCTGCGCCGGCCACTGCATGTGCCTACAGTGCCGCAGGTGAGCTATGTGGCGCCTGCACCTACAGCGGCTACTGTATTACAGCAGGGGGCAAAGTCGGCGCCGCCTTCCTCTGCTGTGTTTCACACAAGGTGGCAGTAGATTAGCTAACAGAAACTGGGTGGAAGAACATAGGAATGGAAAGTGTCCTGCAAATTAGGCAGCAGCGTGAGTTCTCCTATCGCAGACTCAGCCACAAGCTTGAACATAGATGTCAACCGCTGGATGCACTTAATACTGATCCCTATGATATCGGTGTCTTCCGAGATCCGTAGGCTCAGATGTATAAAGAAGCGTTCCTCGAGCTTCCTGAGATCGTTATATTCATAACGTAGTATGACCTCTACGCCACGCCCTTCTACAATCACGGGTTGTAGGTCTAAACTGAGTGAATGGCTTGGATTCTTTACGATTTGACACATGAGACTTTTCCCTTCAAGAAGATGCTTAAGAAATGGATAGCGGAAGGTGTCAAGCCGGAGTGGGCAGCCCGACTCCACCTCTGCTACAAACTTTTCAGCCCAGTCTGCATACCTCTCAATTTTTTCAACGGAGGAACTCAACTTCTCCTTGCCCAAGCCAACAAGAGAAGAGATGGAGAAGTTTGCAGCCCTATCGGCGATCCATTGAAGGTACGAGGAACTCCTTACCACCACATGGCCATCGTTCTCATCCTGCGGCATCTTGTGCTTGTTGAGCAGTTCTGTCCCCTCCATATAGACTCCATTGATATCCTTCCTGCTACGTAGCAAGGAGACGTATGTGATTGGTATCCTCCCTGTCTTCTCAAGGGCAATGTCCAAGCGAGCGAGTGCAATCTCGAGCCTTGCGATTGTGTCTGCTCTGGACGCCTTGTCTTCGACCTTGGTAGAGATGTACGAGAACACTTTGCTCACACCCTCCTCAATGATGGCTGAAGGTAGTGCCATCAAGTTACCGTACTGCTGTTCAAGATACAAAATAATGAGAGCTGTACTTTGACACAAGTATATGAAGCTTGAATTCCAAATGATATCTTACTATCTTACTGAGAAGAAACATTATTATAGACCTTTCTTGTTAATGAAATTAATTATCACGAGACAGGTTAGAAGAACTGATAAATTTGTAAACCTCTTGCAAAAATAAATGCATCCTGCCAATGATTTGTTATACTCTAATTGTCACCAACAAAAATAGCTGTTGGATCTATTTTGTTTTCTAAAAAATTATCCACCTCTGCTGTTATGAAAATACACAAAAGTAACCCCCCCTAAATCTATCAAAATTTCCCACATTTAACCTATATCACTATGAATAATAACCTGAAGTAATCCATAATCTTGTTGTCAATTACCCATCTATGCCATCATGATTTTGTATTTAGGTGAGTTGTATACATGGGTATTAAAATAATGTAAAGTAATCCCATCTATTCTGTTATATAAATAATGTAAAGGAATCCCCTCAATTGTGCATCTAAATATCTCACATATGTTACTGTATAAAAATAGCCAACAATAACCCTTTGTATTTATTACATCTAAGTTATGTACCATTATAAAAAAATTAACCCATTAACACAAAAGTCAATAGCAAAAAGCTAACTGCCAAAAGGTCAGCTTCTTGTTCCTTCATAATTCACTTTTGTTATTACTGTAATGGAGTATTTTATTTGAGTTGCCATGTTCTTTCAGCAACCTACTGCACCATTAGCATTTTTCAATGCTCGAAAAAAGGCAGGAAGACCTCTTTCATGTTTATTTCTGTTTGATAATTGAAGGCCTTTTTCATGTTAGGGAGAAGTCTATATATTTTTGGCCATTTAGCTATTGCTCAAGTATGTTTTTGGCCAAACAACTCTAAAACTAGAAATTTTTTACCACTAAGCTATCAGTATCAAACAAAATTGGTCAAATTGTACCAAAAATACTGTCCTCTCCGCCTGTTGATTTAACAAAAGGAGCTACTGCTTTATTTTGAGGTGCACAAGATCTTGAGTAATATATATGGCACACAAGCTTGGGATTCTGATGGAATAAAAGTAAGCGTAATCTTTACCTTAGCTCTAGATTGCAGCAGCCGCGCGCGTGTGGAGCACCAGCTGCACCCCGATCACAGCTTCGCCACGGAATGAAGGGTCCAGGTCTCCAAGATAAGGTGAGCTCAGGAAGAGAGCAGTGAAGTTGTGCACTGCTTGTATTCAGCGAGTGGGACGACCAAGCTTTTGTAGTAGTATATAAGAGTGGAGGAAGGAGGTCCATTATTGTTTTGGGCCCAGTGTGTGAACAAGTTGGATTGGGTGCCCTTGAAATGAGCAGGAAAAGGTCAGGGAAATGCAGATGATATGGGTCTGTTCCTAGGAGGAAGCTGCAGCGTAAATTTGAGATGTCAATAATTGCAAGCCTTTAGTAGCAGCCCCAACTGTCTGTGCTCTCTGATATATAATAGTCGTAGGAACAAGCACAGAAAGAAACATTTTGTCTGTCATTGTGCTATCCTCATAACGGTAAAATAGCACAGCCTCCTTGCACGCTCACCAGAATACGTGGCCATATATATGTTCAAACAATATAATTTAGAACAATATGGTGGTACTAGGTAGAATACATTGCCACGCATAGCTAGGTAGAATTAATAGAGCTTGATTTTAGAAGAAATTTGGAAGTGGTTTCACGGGAAACGGAGTAAGGATGAGAAAGATATGATTTTTAGAAGTTTAAATATAGTTTGAGAATTAAATAGACTTTATGGAAATATTTTGGTGTATGGAAAATGGGTGAAAATAATATAGGTAGATTCCTGGGGGCATCTAGTTTATTTAGAAATTTTCTAGGAATCTTTTTAAGTAAGGAAATTAGGTATTTATCTTTCTGTGTACACTAACCGGGTGTACCTAGCAATATCTGTGCGCTGTATGGTGGGGCTAGGATGTCGGCGTCGGGTGCCGCTGACGTGTAGGCCAGCCTAGCCCTTTAACCGGAACGGAGGGCGATGGCGTCATGGCTGCGCGCCCACCTGACAGAGTAAGAGGGGGAGACAGACGGAGATGGCGCGAAGACAGGACGACGTCACTTGGCGGTCCCACGCGACTGAGAGAGAAAGAGAGGGAAGAAGGAGACGGTGCCGGATGAAGGTAGCTGGCGTGGCGACGGAACAGGGGAAGAGGGGTCGAGCTCGTCGGAGCTTATTACGTCGGCGGCGTCGAGCCTCGGGGCAAGATGTGGAGTGGCGGACGGTGCTCGAGAGGCCAACCCTATGGGGGATATACCCCCGGTACCCACAAGACAAGGCATGGGCTGCGCCCCAAAGGTGGCCCAGCCCATAAGATCAAAACGTGCACCGCAAGACTACAAGATGTGATTTATTGTATAATACCAAATATAATATTTTCCTTGTAACCCTACCCCTACAGAGTATATAACGAGGGGTAGGGGTCCCCTAGACAATAGTTTGAATCTCATAATCAATTTAAAATAACACAGCACAGGACGTAGGGTTTTACGTCACGCTGACGGCCTGAACCTGTATAAATCTTGCGTCTTGTGGCTCTGTTACCATCTAGTTCATATCTCGCGCACCTCCACCGATTCATCTACTACCATGGGCATAACCCTCGGTAGAATGCCGGTTGTATTTCATCGACAGTGGCGCGCTAGGTAGGGGGTGTGCGTGTTGATTCTATGGCTAACCAGATGAGAATCTTTTCTTCAACCAACGTCACCGACAACTCAGCATTCGGCAGCAACTCAACGCTGGCACGCAGCGGATTGCTTTCCTCGGCGAATGGCCGCATGCATTGGAGTCTGCCGCCTTGCCATGCGCTTCCAACAGACGCAACACGCGACAACCAGATCGAAGTCAAGCAATCTAAGAAAGCTAAGTCAAGTCGCTTCCTAACTAAATATTGTTGTTATACTCCCGGATATATCCATATGTCCGCATGATTTCTGTCGACAGTAACCCGATCAGATACGCAAGATCGTTGCCGCGGATCATGACGACCAGCAATGAAGAAAGGTGGCCGGCGATAAAGCGATGTAGAGCAGTGTTTCCACCCAAAGATGCTATTCGGCCGTTCAAGCTAATTGGAGTAGTTGAAGAGATATACAACCACATATGCATATGGATCTACACCACCATACAAGCAACCTCACGTATCTCAAGCATGCATGGAAGATTTCGGACTACACCCTCGCCTCGGTCGGACACACTCAAGGGCTTCGCCTCCCCACGCAGATTGACTCCGTCAGGCTCCGATTACTCCCGTTCGCCTACGACTCAGCGTACCCGTCTGAGCTATCAAGAGAACCGTCCGAGCTGTCGAGCGAGCCGTCCGAGCTGTCAAGCGAACCGTCTAAGCTGTCAAGCGAGTCGTCCGAGCTATCAAGCTAACCATCCCAGCTGTCAAGCAAGCCGTCTAAGCTGCCAAGCGAACCGTCTGAGCTGTCAAGCGAGCCGTCTGAGCTATCAAGTGAGCCATCCAAATCACATCCATATACTCGGACATCATTACTCGCCGGCTCCTCTACTCCACTCGGCGTCAATCAAGCTAAGTCACACTTTAATATTCTTCTAAATATTCTCTAATCTTCATACGTCTCCGATGTCTCTCCATGTTGTTTTCTCCGTAATTATTCTCCAAATGACTTTTTTCTCCGCGTATAGCATCTTAAAGATGACACACGCTTTTGACTTAATAAATCCCCAAACAGTCATGTTGACGCTCGGATGTCTCCAGAGACGGTCCTATCTCCGGCTTCTCCCTACACGTGCACGAGCGTCTGCCCACAGCTTTACGGGTGGTCGGCAGCGGCTCCTTGGCGACGCTTTGTCCTTTCTACACGTACATGGGCTCCGCGCTCCGCGTTATGGTTAACGGGCTTACTAGGGCTAGAGACTCAGCTACAAACTAACTGTTCGGATGGTTTATATTAAATATAGACACTTCGTCCAAAAACGAACATAATGTTCATCTACAACTGATCGCCGAGCTGCATACGCTATTTCATCACTGTGGATTTTTCTCTGGGTTTTATATATTTTATTTTTACATCATGAACTACCCATTCTACATATTTTTATTTCAGGGGTCTAGTTTAGTCAACGAGCTTATGCTAGGGGACTAGATCCGTCAGGAAGGACAAGAGGATCATCGTCTGGGTGGTCGTGCCACCTGGCACTCGGACTTTACTGCCAACCAACTGGTCGGACCGTTCGGTTCATGGACTTCATCGCCAACCAGTTGGTCGAATAGTTCGATGCTCACTTCCGCTCAGGCATTCACTTCACCGCCGATCAGATTGCTCGTCGCTTTGGCTTCATCGACAGCTACGCTGGGGACTTGCCAGCTATGCTGAGGACTCCTCGGCACTTGGATTCTTCATGCAAGAGTCGCCAGCTAAGCTAGAGACTCCCTTGGCATTTGGATTTTGCTACGTCTCATCGCTGTGCTTTCAAGCTGCTCCATGCTGTTCAGATCAGGGTGCTGATCTTGGGCAACACTTCTGGGGTCATGATAAGTATATGACAGATGATGTTGGCAAGCTCTCATTAAAATTCTTTGACCCAGCTACGATATTCATTTTTTTATCTTCCAGCAGGCTCAGGGACTAAGTGGCCACACTTCACCTAGCGGTGAATGTAGTATTTTTTTAATTTTTATGTTGAGCCCCTTACACCCTTCCGGCAAATTTTACTCGAGTAAGTCCGAGCCTAGCTCCTAGTTGAACTGCTCGGACATCTGCTCCAACTGCTCGGACGCCGTTTTCAACTGCTCGGACGCCTGGTTAACCGCTCGGATGCTTGTTTCAACAACTCGGCTCCCAGTTAAACTGGTCTAAACCTTGTCTTTTGTGATCAGGAGCAAGTTGGACAGCTCGGAGAAGCTCAAGATGGGGTTGCTCAAAGGATACAAGGCGCTCGGGGACTAGCTGAGGGGATATATGCC